TTTTATTCTGCAATTGGGATTATAAAGGACATATATGATTCAAAATGATAATTAGAAAATGTTCCAAGATGGCACCCAGCAGTCATCTTGTATTTTTGTTGTCAAATTCACGCTAAAATATAGTATTTATGCATCCGTTCTATAACTTCTGAATTATAGCTAACTTTGTATTAGTAGGAGAGACCTATATGTAAAGAACTAAATAATTTTTCTTAAACCATTAATACGATCACTTTTTCGGTAAAAGGCTTTCACTATACTATTTCTTCCAGTTCCAGCATCGGGAAATTTCACCGACCTCGTAGAAGACGACACTGCGCTGCCTCCTATAGGTCCAGAGTACCCTCCTCAACGTGACGAAGTGAAAAGTACCACCTCAAAAGTGGCAAATCTGACTGTATCTCAATCAAAAACAGACGGTCGTACCGACGATGAGCCCGAAAGCTATATTGGATTCATCATTGGTGCTCTCACCGTCGTGATACTGATACTCGTAGCTGCTATTGTATTCATCGCTTTTAGGAACCAGAGGATTAAGGCAATCTCTGGACTAACTGCAATACCTACTGTGAGGAGTGATTTGGAATGCGAGAAGGTAAGCTGGATCTTGAGACTTATTAGCACAGTTTCTGTTTTTTCTCGTAAAATACAATACAATGCTTTATTGTACATACTGTACTTTCACAGGCCATTCTGTAACAACATTTTATAGTATACATAGAGAGCCGAATTCTAATAATAGTAGTCGAATGCAGATCACATATAGGTATGCATATACAGGGTGGCGCATCGAAAACGAAACAGACGCATTTACTGGCAGCTCAGTTTTTTTTTGGAAAAACGCTTAGACCCGTCGATTTTGTTTTCGAGGGGGACACAAGTTTGGCAAAAAATCACGTTAACACGTGCAGCCCCCTGGGTGGGTTGACTATTTTAAAGGTCTTTCAATTCCCTTTATAATGACGAATATACATGAGCTTCAGTTCAGTAGTTTTGAAGATTTATTGATTTAAAGCTTAAAGTAGACTTAGTAGGTACATCAGATTAGTTTGTACTACTTTCAGAAGAAATTTGACTAAAAGAATTTACTTAATAAGTAAATACTTTTCTTCACTACACCCATGGTTTGTTTATATTTTTTTTGTTGAAAATAGCTATTGGAGCGTTTTTTTTGTGGCAAAACAGTTATTGCCTGGAGAAAGATAAGGAAATATCTCGTACTTATTTTAAATAGGAATTTAGTTCATAGTTTGCGATTGGTTTGATCAAACTTTGTGGCTAAAATAACTTGTAACGCTTTATTAAATAAGTTAACCACGGTATATTCCACAGCAGAAAGAGTTGAAATTATCGAAATATTTTTCGGACATAATCAGAGCCCTAATAGAACAGTAGAAATATTTAATGAGCGACATGAGAACAGTAACGTGCATCGAAAATACGTTCTAGAACTTGTAGCTAAATTTCGGAAAACTGGGTCAGTCGACAATAAAAAACCCAACATTGAAAAGCCCATAAGGAACAAAGCAGTAGAAGTGAGGGTTTTAGGGCAAGTTTATATAGATCCTACGTTAAGTACCTGCAAATTGGAGACTGTGTGTGGTGTTAGTCGACGTACTGTCCAACGGATTCTAAAGGCCCATAGTTTTCATCCGTATAAAATTCACCTGGTACAAGAACTTAATGAAGACGATTTTGATCGGCGATCACAATTTTGTGAAGATATGAGTGAATGAATTATAAACGATGAACATTTTGTATTCAACACTTGCTTTTCCGAAAAATGTTCCTTTTGCTTAAATGGCGCAGTAAATCGTCATAACTGCCGGTATTGGTCCGATTCTAATCCCAGAATTTATCATGAGGTTCATACCCAGCAGCCACAAAAATTAAATGTTTGGGCTGGTATTTTTGGCGATCATTTAGTTGGTCCTTTTTTCCTACATGGAAATTTGTCCGGTGAAATGTATTTGGAATTACTGGAAGACGCCATAGATCCTGCATTAACAGCCATAATTGAAAATCAGAATGATCAGCGGTACATTGCGAATAGGTTGATGTTCCAACAGGATGGTGCCCCACCACATTACGCATTACGTGTTCGACAATATTTAGATCAAACGTTTTCAGATCGATGGATTGGTAGAAGAGGTGCCATTGAATCGCCAGATTTATCACCTTTCGATTTCTTTATGTGAGGTCATTTAAAAATCATAATCTATGCTACTCAGCCAACATCATTAGAAGACCTGCGACAAAGAATTAGTGCCTTCAAATTACTCCTCAAATATTGCAAAATGTACGGCAACGTTTTGAGCAAAATCTTTTACTGCATGGAGAGTCATGGTGACCATTTTCAACATTTACTTGCCTAACGGGTCAGTTCATTCTTCATTTTTAAATTACTTTGCTGCCAAATGTATTGATCTCCACTAATGATGATGTATTAGTTTTATTTAAGCTTTAAATCAACAAATCTTCAAAACTACTGAACTGAAGTACGTTACTTATATATATATATATATATATATATAAGGTATCACTCGACCCCCCTTTCCATTTATGATTTTGGGGGTGGTGTCACCCCCGCTTAGGGGGCTGCACGTGCTAACGTGATTTTTTGCCAAACTTGTGTCCCCCTCGAAAACAAAATCGACGGGTCTGAGCGTTTTTCAAAAAAAAACTGAGCTGCCAGTAAATGCGCCTGTTTCATTTTCGATGCGCCAACCTGTATAAGAATTATGCTAAAAAGAATAAAAATAATTAAAAAACAACAACAGATAAAGCACATATTAAAATCTAAAAATCAAAAAATGTTGATATCAATAAAAAGCATTTTTGTTGCGGTATATAGTGTGATTTTTAAACTTTTTCTACTTTTTGATAATCTTACAAAAGGAATACTTAAGTTCCCAGCACTCCTTGTATCATAGTCAGTACTCGAGATAGGTTTGTTTGTTAAAGATTCATCTAGCATGACTGCTACAATTACATTCTTCTAAAAAACTAAACAATTACATAACATACAGACATTCAGAAAAAAAAAACAAAATTTGCATCTCTCAGAATTTTCATTGTCCAGGAAATATTCCTTTAACTTTCATTAAATTACAAGTAGACTTTATATCATTATTTATTTTATTAAATTCAAGTAATCATTTCTGAAATATTGATTTGCTAGTTATATTACTATTGCAATTTTGTAAATGAAAGTCTACTCGTATATTTCTCTCTCTCTTGTACAGTAATTGAGGTAATGATTATTCAATTCTATGTAGTGTTCTAAATGTTGTGGCAAAAGATGATTTTTCATTTTAAATATAAAAATAAGAACCAAATATGATATGAAATTTTTTATATTCAACCACTGCAGCTCTTGTCATATAGATTTTATTTTGGTGTACCTATTTTTATTCAATATTATTTTGCAAGACTTGTAATTTTGAGAATACAGCTTCATTGGCAGTGAACAAGATAGTTGAACAATATACTAAATGCGGTCGAATAATAGTATTATAACCTATTTTCTTGGACTGGGCAGCAAGACTATGAGAAGTCCTATAAAAGTAATTTGTTTTTTTGGCAATTTTTGAATTAATGTATTCATAGTGATCCTCAAACTTTAGTTTACTATCGATATATATATACCTAAATATTTAATTGATTCAACATTTTCACTTATTTCTCCATTTTTTGACAAGTCAAAATTTAGCATTTTTGAAGCAGTGTCTATCTATTCATCTGATATGTATACAAATGTATCTGCAAATATCTGAAGTTTACAATAATCTAAAATATTACAAATATCATTAATGTATAAAATAAATAGTAATGGGCCTACCTTGTGGTATACCAACAGAAATATTTTTTGATCTTGATAATGTACATCCAATTTTGGTTTTTTGACTTACGTCAATTAAATAGCTTTGTAGAATTTTGAATACAGATCCTTCAAATCCGCAGTGACGCAATTTTGTAAGTAATTTATCCCTGTCAATAGTCTCAAACGCCCTTTTGAAGTCCAAAAACATTGTTACTGTATGTTTCCGATTGTCCATACATATCCTCCAGTCCTCTAAAATCATTTGTGTTGCCGTTTCAGATGAGTGTTTCTTCCTGAATCCAGCTTGAAATTTGATTAAAATGTTATTTCCCTCAATAAGTTCGTAAATAATTTCTCCAAAAACTTTTTCAACATCTGGCAGAGCATTTATTGGCCGCATATAGGTGTACAACTCAGAATTCTTAACTTAAGAAACAGGAGTTATGGTAGAACAGTAATTTATCAGGATTGATATTCTTGCTCCAATAATATCAAAACGTTCATTAAGTACACTTTTAGACGAAATCTCTCTCTTATTTAGATTTGGTTTAATTTTTGATATAATCTTCTTGAGACGATTAATGTTTATTGTTCTAAACTCACTGAGCTAATCCTTAAACGTCTGCGAGAACCAAGGTGTTGGATTTTTCTCTTATAAATTGCTGTCTTGACTGTAGCTTCTTTTATACAAAGTTCAACATTATCCAATAAGCTTATATAGTAGCTATCAACATCAACAAATGCTTCAGCAATATCTTACAGTAAAAGAGCTTCTCGTAATTTTGCATAGTTATTAATTTACTAATACTTCAATGAATACAATATTCCGATTGCCCACCTCTGTAAAGAGAACTAAGCTTTTTGCTATTTCATCAATGTACGTGACCCATTTCAATTTCTTGTCTATTTTTCAATATTTGAATGGCCACGAAGGCCTAAGACCTGAACACCCATAGTTACCGGGGGACTAAATGGCGTTACAGGGGTTGGAGGGGGGCGCCATGCGGACTGTAGCGAGGGAACACATTCTGGGCCCGCCTAAGAATCCGCCGGGTGGTACCTTCGCGTTCGTCAGTGCGAGTTTATCTACCGCCTACTTATGTGTATATGTGTACAGAAATTTTGTATGTTCTGTATGTTGTGGTTTTAGATGTTTCAATAAAAATGTCATATTTACTGTCTTGACTTCATTCAGGGTCAGCTTATTTTGCAATAAACCAGTTTTGGCGATCACAGACTTCCCAGAAATCTCAGACATAATTTTAGATCTAACAGCGATTGTAGCAAATTGTATATAATTGTCATCTTTGTGGTTCAAAAAGGCATTGATGTAGATCATAGATAAAATCAGCCCAAGTACCATACCCTGGGGTGCATCGTGTTCAATATACGGTATATCCGAGGGTGCAGCTATGGAGATTGATTTAATTTCCCCTGAAATACAAATTATATGTACAAAAGGGGAATGTAATGAAATGACACAATTGTCAACGTAAACATTTAACTGAAATGGAACACTTGCCATACGTGACCAATGTGGTAGTGCATAGACGTCTTTGAAAAAAGAATTCGCCCGCACATACAAAAACACACATTAGGAAGGAGTGTAATTCCATTTTGATACTTATCTATGCAAGGTGTCCCAAGCTCACCACCTAAATATTTCGAAAACTGTGCATTCCGGAACAAAAGTTGTTCGACTTTAGAGGGGCTGAATGATGGTACCTTGACCTTGATCCTTAAGGTCATTTCAATAGCCTTCAAGGATCACAAATATCATTTATTACAACTGGGGCAATAGGCGCAACCTCATTAAGCATAATACATTCAAACTCACGGTGTACCTACACGAAAACAACAATAATGACAGATTTATGTTCCACCAAATTCCATACTACCTTTATTATTATCCATATTCAGATACCGAAATATTTACAACACACAACACAGCGAATGATACAGAAGCTATCCAATTTTGTTGTTACGAGTGTAAAGTGTCGAATTATACATTACAAACTTCAGTTTAATAATAGTCAGTCATTCTAAAGGTCGTGTAAGAAAACTTCTGACTCTCTGACCAACTTATTCTTTTATGGTTTTAACTTTGAAATAGTGTAGTAATTTTCGTGCGTTTTGGATACTTTGTTTTTTAAATTCTTGCCAGGTTTTCGCATAGATAAAGCACTGTGCCTTGGGCTATAGCGGGATACAGGGGAAGCTATTGGGCGAATATTCCATGCTGGCCCATGGACCAATTTTAAATTTATTAGTTTCTCAATTGTGTCGACTTCGAGCCAAAATGAGTTTTCAGGGGGATTCAAATTTCTATTAACCGTATAATGAAAGGCGAGCTTCATTATCAGCGGATTAAAATTGTAGAAGATTTGAGTACTCTTATAGTTTTCAATAGCCATTCAAAATCGGATAACTGTGACTATGTGAAAACTTTCACAGCAAAGTTCGACAGCAACTTGAGGCGTCTTCAAGGACAATGATATCTAAATAGAGAATCATAAGGCTATTGAATATATCGATTCATGTAGAAGTTGTTTGATGCCGAAAGGAGGATGACGATTTCAGCTTTTCACTTTTCTTTAGTTATTGTTTGGGATCAGATTGACGATGAAATGCTTCCATGGTGCGAAAATACCAGATGTCGTTACACTATAATACAATAATGGATAAGCATATCTTCTTGTCAAAAATTCTTGCCGCAGTCGAAATATTGTCAAATGCATTTTTTTGAGCACTAAGCGATATTTCAAATGAACAATAAGTTGAAATAAGACAGCACAAAGTGCCATCCATTGCCTCAACCGACCACTGTCTGTTGAAACTGTATTCCAGTTCGCATTTTTAGGCGGGTCACCACTGTGGCCGATGGACGCCGCTGATCCTGATGCTTAGTATACCCCATTGTACAAACTAGTAATTTTTTTACATCGAAGCATCCACGCAGCCAGGACACCGCGGCTGCTAGAAGCTTTGTTAATCCGATTTTTGAACTGCCTAAGGTTAGGGAAACTGGGAAAATTCGACAATCTTGATACCCTAGGAACAAAGGAGCGGTCGCATCGACCCATTCTGGATGTACGAAATTCGAGATGATTAGGATGGTAGGCTGAAGTTAGGAAGTCAAAGAAGTCTGCCTGCCAGGCACACTACATCCAAGTTTAAAGTTACTCATATTTTTTTTGTCTTTGTTTGATTTATGGTGACCAATCAAACTGATACTAACATCCTTTATGTGATTTCATCGATTTTCAGCGAAAAGCTGCCAAAAAATAATACAAATACCTTTAGCTTCGGATGGAAATATCCAAACGTCACATTCTCTGTAAGCATTGTTGAAAATCCCACATATTACGAGTCCGTCGATATATCGACGAATTTCGAACAAAAATAAAAACCGCTCACGGGCAGGAATTCTTGCGAAACCCGGAAAGTTTATAGCCCCGCAAACGGTCCCGAACATGCGATAAGATTATGAGAGGCAACAGGAGACACGTAAGTTAGCTTTTAACCTGGTCATCAGGTTATCTAAATAGTGTTGCATCGGGTCGCTGCGGAAATTAACTGCCATTGAGGGGCGGCGATAACTGGCCATTGTTGCCGGTGTAGCGCTTGTAACTTGACTGTTTTCTTGTTGTTGTTGAAGCTACTTGAACGTACGTATCAGTACGAAATAGCCTGAGTGGAGCTCCGACAAATAGGTAACTAGATAGAACAGGCTATTTGCATAGTGATGGTGTTTTGTATGTTTTCCTTCCATTGAAAGATGTAGTCAAGTAGATTAACTCAGTACTGTCCGCGCGTTCACACAGAATGTTCTAGAATTAAACAGAAATCTTTACGGACACTAAAAAAATGTTACAAGTTCATATAAAAACGCCCTACAGAATTTGTCTTTGGATTTACAGACCTCTCAGCTGTTATTTTACTATTGACCCCCAGGAATCAGGATTTGCATTTATGCTACGCATACGTTCGGCCAATCACAAGACGTTTGTGAAGTCACGGATCTCAAGAACATAGTCGGTTTCTTGTGAAAAGTCTCTTAAACTGTAGAAAATTGTACGATATGTTTAAGATGAGCTGCTAATTTCCATATTAAATCAAAAAATTCTTGATAAATTACTTCGTTTAGCTATAAAAACCTATTTTTTCATATGTATCGGAACTGATGTTACAAACCTTGAAAACAGACATCTCGTCGATTTTTTTGACATTTCGTAAGATTTCTATTAGATGTTATTGTAGCACAAGCTGTTGTACACTTATTGTGAACTCGTTTTGTAGCTGTACGTGTTGCTTAAGCGTCAGCGAACAGCGATTATACGTAGAGAGCAAACGCGGAATGAATCTGCACACCTAATACTACCTAGTCTGCAAGATGACATTATAATTTATTTATTTATGTATTTTATTTATTTATTTATTTACACCACCAACAGATAAACCAATTATTGGTGGGAGAACAGAAGTTAACATAGTACAAACCTGAAGTAATTAATATACATAAGAAATACAACAGTCACAAAACTACACAATTATATAACAGATTTGAAGAGGATCTTAATAGAGGTCACATTTGTATTAAATATATCAATTCTGTTTTGTAGATTGTTTAAATAGATACACATGGAATATAGCGGAGAATGCAGCAGTAAGTTGGTCCTGCGGGTTGGTAAATAAAACGTTAGGATGTGTCTGGTGAGACATCTTGGTATATTGAACGACAGGCGACTTAGAATATCCGGACAATCATATTGGTTGTGAATAACCTTGAATGAGAATATTAGTGAGTGCATTTTTCTTCTGTGGTCTAAGCTTAGCATACCGTGCCTCTTTAATAATACATCTTGAGGAACACCTATTTCTGGATAGATACCATCTATCCTGTAGGACAGATACTTCAGAAACTTGCGTTTTTTTCTAATGAGTCACAAGTCGTCACATAGCAGGGATTCCAAATAATTCTAGCGTATTCAAGTTTTGACATTACAAATGCATTATACAGCATGAGTAAGACCATTATTTAAAGAACTTAGAAGGTAATTTATATGCGGATTGAAACTGAGGGTTGTGTCAAAGGTGACTCCAAGATCTTTGTATTCTCTTAGATTTGGCAGCGTTGTTTGATTAACCTTATAATGATATTCTATGGAGCGTTGTTTTCTGGAATAGGTCATGCTGGTACACTTGGACGCATTCAGGGGTAGGTTATTATTATCATCGCATTCTGTTGAGATTATCTTGGAGACGTTCGAAATCGGTGCTGTTGCTAACCTGAGTATAAATTTTAAGATCACCGGCATATAAGAGATATTTGCAATCAATAACGTCACAAATGTCATTGATCCCTGTGGAACACCTGATGTTGGAGTAAACTTTTGAGATTTGGATCTCTTGAATTCCACAAACAGCTTACGGTTCGGCAGATAGGATTTCAAAATAATTGAAGGCATTACTGAAGATAGTGAGCAAAGAGGCTTTAACACGGTACTGAACTTTATAAACCCTGTCCTGCAGTAAGTTCACAGGTACAGAGCGTATCAAAACTTGGACCTACTCGTACTATATCTAACAACCAATCTCGTCCAGTAAAAGTGTGTTATTTCTAGTCCGCTACCTGTCTTAATGTCCTGCACAAAAAACGATCAGTAACTCGTAACACATCATATCGCAACCTTACGGTCACTGATGACAAAACTCAAATGTCGCACTTGAGCTCAAGAGTTACATCGCAGACAAGCGGCTTCTGAGACGAATATATACTAAGTGACATATAAATCCGAACACCCAGTTTAAATGGTTTTATTTTAATAAAAGTTGGTGAATGTATTTATCTTACTGTAAATAACAAGTGAAAAAATTTTCAGCCTTATCAGTTGGACATTCCGGTTTTTATACTGCTTTTTTTTAATTCACTAACGCTCTAAAAATGAATATTTCAGCCGCAGTAAAGAATCAACGTTGGCGGATTTTGGTTCTTGACATCCTTTACGATCGGTTACGATGCCTAGAGTACGGAGACCTGTACGATTTCGTCAACTTAGTGAGTTTGATAGGGGCCGTATAGTGGGACTACGGGAAGCTGGACTTTCTTTTCGAGCAATTGCAGTTAGAGTGCAAAGAAGTGTAGACACTGTGGTTAGGTGTTGTCAGGCATGGCTTCGAGAAGGCCGTACGCAAAGAGCAAGAGGCACTGGACGCCGCCGTAGAACAACAGACCGTGAAGATCGGCGCCTAAGATTATTGGCCGTAATGGACCGTTTCTCCACTACCAGGTCCATTGCAAATGAATGGTTTGCAGAACACGGAAGACCTATTGGCATGCGAAGTGTTTACCGACGTTTTGGCTTGTTTTCATACCGGCCACACTGGGTCCTCCCTTTAACTCGAGAACACCGACGTAATCGCCTTGAGTGGTG